TTCTGTCTTAAAAGTCTGCAAAGATGTGTGTGTGTGCGTGTGTGTGTGTGTGTGTGCGTGTGTGCGCGCGCGCATGCGTGTGTGTTTGTATGCTGCATACTTCTGTCACTCCAGTCATCTGTTGCCTCTTTCTGACGTACATTTGCAAAACAGAGCAAAGCGTCCCTGTCATGCGATCTGCAGCATAACAGCTTTAAAGGTTTCAAAGACCAATGTGGTTTAAAGTTTGAATGAAGTTCAAGTTAGGTAACAACTGAACCAGCAGCACATTGGACGACATCCTGGAGCTTCTTCTGAGCCCTCAAAAAGACAAAGCCTCCATATGTGCCTGGTCTTTCCTCTAAATTAGTGTTTATGATGTACAGCAGGCACTTACAAGCATTTTCATTGGAGGGCTCTGAAAATGCAGAACTATTCTGGCAGATCCTATCAGAGCTATCCAGGATATTATTAGAGGGTGCACAGAAAACTCTGACCTGACCCACATGACTACAACCACATCTCCAACACCAATCGTGTGTGGCGCACAAACCTTACCCACATGAATACAGGTTACATGACCCTGTCACAATAATCAATAAATCAATTAATTGCATGAAAACCTGAAACAAACTCAATAATTTCCATTGGTATGATTTATCACTTATCTTTTTTTCTCTCTTCCTACCAAAAAACTGGATGATAAAAGTCTTCGGTTTGGTGCTTTGGTCTCAACTCGCTCGTATTTTGGAGAACAGTTTTGTTTACAAAGACATCAAAATTCATTTTATTTGTGTTATTTATTTTGGACATTTAAATGTTCATTATAATTTAAAGTTTTTTGATTTTTTAGAATGTGCTCTTGCGGTTTTCTTTATGCCATTACTTTTATATTCCTTGAAAATGGTCTCAAAACAATAATATTATTGTTTATTGCAAAATGTTAGGAACAATTTATCGGCCAGCAAAATTTGTTAACATGACAGGCCTACTTGGAACACAGAAATATGCCACAATGCGCATTGCCCAGAAAAACAGCAGATCTGATACACACAATGTAACACACACACACTCTCATCTGCCTGCATAGCCTACTTTTTTACAAATTAGATTAAATAATAAAAACAAAAAAGCAAATCCTATTCGTCTGTCTGCTGGCTCTCCTGGTGCAGCCTCCAATAGTCAACAGGCAAAGTCAGGCTTAGGAGAACCTAAAAGTCATTTATTTTCAATTTCATATATTTCAAAAATTACAATATGAAACAAAACTGCTTTATTCTTGTCCTAATGATACTGATGATGCAGTATCCTCGTAGATCAAACAGTCCTTATCACATCTCTTACATGAGAAAACAGGGTGAGTTCTCGGTCAGCTCAGAATGCATTCAGTCTCGACAGTCACCACCTGATGTACTCAAAGTCCCGCTGTTTCCATTTTTGCATCAGGTTTTCACTTGGACAAGCCCCAGAGAACCATGATAAATGTTTCACAGCCAAACTGCTGCATGTCATTTCAATCTCCAGCATCTATGTTTTTGTACCATGGGGAGGAAATTAAAGTACCTGAAGGAAAAACCATCCAGAACAAACAATCACTACGGAATATCTACAAGGCCCACTTCTGTTTCTAACCCTACTGTAGAGATAGTTTTGAGTTACCAACATTAAACTGACTATAGTATTGGATTATAACCCAGATCTGAACAAATTGAACAAATGTCTCCTCTGTGTGTCTGACATGAAGTTCCTTTGGCATGGTAATCGACTTCCCCTTGATTCATACCTGCGGTTAGAAGCATGACATGCCACACGGTTTTGTTTTCCTGCAGACACCTCAAGTTATTCAAATTCAAGCATCACTTGAGAAATGTTCAAAGCTTAACAAAAAACACAACCACAATAACCATTAAGCAGAAGTGACCAAGCGTGTATATCAACAGTCATGAGTTGCTTATGATAAAAAAATATATATAACATGGTCTACTTGAGACTAATGGACAGACTGAAGACTATTGCCATCCAGCTTTTGGTAGGAAGGGAGAGAGAAAAGAGAAAAACAATTAATCATGAAAATGGAAATTACTGAGCTTGTTTATTTTGGTTGATTTACTGCTTATTGTGATTATTGCAATTAATGCAGATGGTGGGAAACGGAATTTGTCAAGAGAAATGTAGGCAAACAGTATGCTGGACTATGAAATCTGAGCCGCAAACCGTGTGAGTCTGTGCAGCATACTTAATGCACCAAGTTAAGAGGAAATTGTGGATAAAAGACGAAAGGTCACCTCACCAGTTTGGCCGCATCTTAGACACTTAAAGCAAAAAAACTAATAACTAATTATGGATATTGACTGATATGAATTGCTTATATTGTGATACATTTTTCAGACATATCGCCCAACCCTATCTGCACTTAATGCTCTCTGAAAATGTAAACATCCACGCCTTCTGATTGCATCTGCCTCTATCTTCACAGGCAACACATTTAATCTCCTCCTGCTACACTACCATGGCAACCACTGAAACTAGTAAGCATTTCATCTCAACTGTGTAAGTTTATAGAATGACAGAATGTGCCTGATAGGTGATCTCAATATCTCTCTGCTCTGGCACCTCGCCGACATTTTCTAATGTTTTAGGACCCAAGATTGTAACGTTGCCCAGCCCTTCTTTACAGTACAAAGTGTCTGGATGACTGCACCGGAGCAGTTTTCCAGTCTACACAGCGGTGCAGGGAAGAATGCACGAGGAAGAGGAACCCAGGGAACAAAAGCAGCTCTTTGTTGTCAGGCATTAGAGCCGAAGTGACAGCGAGCGTGAATAAGGGTCAAGGATCACGAGCTGATTCAGAGCCTGTTTAAAAGACGAGCTCAAACAGCACAGGCAAACGCATGCAGAGTCCTCAAACACTGCACAAGGTGTCCATGGAGAGAGGGTGGGGGAATTCATCTTCCTTCTTGTACTTTTTATCTCTTTAAAGTCATACTTATAGCAAACAAAAGTAGTACTTTGTAGAGTTGAAGAGAACTCTCTCCTGAAGGAAAGTGCTGAGCTCACAGTGCTTCAGCCAGAGGCACCGCTAAGGGAGGAGTGCCGATCCCTTCTACATGCATGGTTATCAGATAAGATGGGCTTTCTTTGGCTGATAGCGTTCCATGTGACAATGACACCAAACATCTTCATGAAAGTCAGAATTTCAGTCATCAAAGTGAACATTTACTCACAATCTCTTCCCATGCAGCAAGCAAAACAAGACATTGCTGCCAAACTGGGCTAAGACAGATTTAAGTGTATTTTTTCACCACAAAAACTCAGACATGGAGCTCTAAGGTCAATGTTGTCGACGTGGGATGCACCCTAGGATGCATTTGTGCTGCATTCTTTGGGAAAGCACCATAGTGATGCACAGTGCACTCTGCTCTGCGCCTTTGGGGAGGAAATTGAAGGAGCAGGTGGAATGCTGCAGATAAGCCCTTTGTGGCTGAGAATAAATCAATAACTACCTCGCTTCCAGACAAAAACCAGCAAATTATTAGACCTCAATCACTCCCAGAATGTACATAGGTGTGGATCAAAGAGTTTTTAGTTTGCCATCAAGTGCTCTCTTTCCCTCACTATAAGAAATGAAGTCAGCACAAAGGAAAAGAGGTGATCTGATATGAGTCACCGCTAATGCTTGCATTTCAAAAGATGGGATTTTTTTAAAAAAAACATTTGTTCACTTTCGGTTTCAAGCGACATCTCTGATCTGCATGTGCTCCTTCAGGAGTCTTTTAAATGGTAATTGCCCTCGTTTTACACTTACGTTCACACCTTTTTCTTCTTGATGTTCCTGCGAGTGAAGACTTTTGATTCTACACCTTGGCACAGACAGAAACCACATCCTCCAGCTGAACGAAGAGCGGAGGTTGGAACCGTATAGACGCTGCTCAGTTCCTTTAAACACATATTTATGTACCGTGTACAAATGTTTTGAGTGTGTACTTGGTTTCACCCCGAGCTTTTTATTTTTGGCAGTCAGTCAGGGGTCAGAATGGACCGGTTATAAACTAACGTAGCTAATGCTGCTAAATGTTTTCACCGTCCTTGTTCTCCATGCAGCATCATTTTCTCTGTCAACTCAATTAGATAACTTAAAACACTATGAACTGTAAAAAGGAAAATTTGAGCAACTAGGTTTCTGTCCCTTTTTAAGACCTTATATCATTAGTTGGTTGAAAACCTGGAAATGCACCCTTATATTTAGGAGGCATATTTTTGTAAGTATTTATTTAGACATTTGCCTAATGTCACTAATGTTTTACCTAGAATAATGAAAAAAGAAGAAAAGTAAATAGTTTTTTTATTATATGACAGCTCCTGCCACACCTGCTGCTGCACAGTCCTGGTTGGCTGACAGTTTTGGACAGAAATGGTATGGAAAGTGACCCAGTGCAGCCTAGCTACAGCAACAGATAGCCCAACTAATTAAGCAGCTAATACCAGCTTGTTATACTACTGTTACTTAATAATAGTAGTCTGCACAGTAAGTGCCAAATGATGATGTTGTAGTACAGTGGTGCCCAAAGTCGGCCGGCATCCTGCATGTTTCAGTTCTCTCCCTGGTTTAACGCAGCTGGATCAGATGATGGCTCATTAGAAGACCTAAGACGAATACTGACATGCTGAAAAGGTTGTTGCTACCACCAGAGAGAGAACTAAAACCTGCAGGATGCCTGCCCTCCAGGCACCACTGTTGTAGTAGCTGTTTTCTTTGTATTAACACTCCCAAAAAACTAATAAATACCATAAATTGTAGCTAATTAGCTATTACGTTCTTTATTTGACAGCAGACTAAACAATTTTTCAGTGTTAAATAAAATAATGCGTCTTTGCTCACATTTTATGCAGTTTACTGCTCTTTTTATGTATCATAATAAATGAAAAAGTACACTCAAATTCGATGACTGGGGATTTAGAAATATCGACAATAACAATACACTTTTACAGCTAGCAGCCATTTCAAAAGAGAGCAGGCTCACCTTGAAGTAGGTCTCCTTTCTTGTAGCTTCTTTCTTTGTGCTTCACCTGGACGTCTGAAGCTCAGAGCCTCCTGGTAAAACTTTCAGTCGCTGATGTAAACCAAATGAGCCCGGGGAGAGTAGATCAGATCCGGCGTGAAGGAACACACGGCGCGGCTACAACTTCTGATGAGAACGCAAATTAATTCATTTGACTAAGAGCGAGGCAGGTTGACCAGAGCAGAGGGAGGGGGGTAATTCCCTGTCACTTGCTTATTGCATCAGTTGTACATGCTGTATAGTTTCTAAATAACGTGGGAAAAATGTTCGAACAGAATTAAAAAATAAAAAGTCTCACGGAAAAGCGCGCGTGTGTGAAGCGTTTCATTCGGAACGTGGCGAGGACCAGTCTGCGTCCGTCAGAGTAGAGAAGACGGTTCGGTCACAGCGGTAAAGGAGGGAGAAGTCAAGGTAGATTTAATACAGATGTACTACTTTCTTTTCTGATTTTCAAAATAAAAGTTTCAGGTCACAAACAGAATAGCGTAAACAAGTAACTTCCTCGAGGCGGCTGCTCAAATTTTCACTTATTAATTGCTTTTCAAAGTTTTTATCTGTTTAGTCATTGACAGACATGTACTTTAAAGGAACTGACATTGTACGTATGATATATATTTGATTTAAATAAGAGTTGTTTTTTAAATAGGCTTTTGTCATTGAATAGATGTGAAAATAATGTAAAAATAATAATTAATGACTGATTGTTTAAAAGGATTACATGAATAAAATAATTCAGCAAGATTTCAAGCTCCATTTTTATTAGCCTGTGTTTGCTAGGTGACTGGCCATATACAGTATCATTAATAAGTCTAGAAAACCACCCGATTTTCATTTCCCGTTTTTGCCTTGGATAAAGGATCTGGCCTTTGTCGACTTGGTGGGCAGGTCCTTCAAAGAATGCAGCCCCTGAATTTATACACACTGTGTGTTTTGTGCATGCAGCCACATTAGATGTTAAGCTTATTACTCAAGAATCTTCTTCTTTTCCAAATCAGAATTCCAACTTCTGGGTTGGTCCAGTTCATTTGTTAAAACTTGAAACTTCAAAATTCTTACCTCTCAGTACAAACAGGTTTTAAACTTGAATGAGCTTGCCAACAATAAGCATCATTGTTTGGAACTTAAACTGAGACCTTTCTCTCCTTAAGCACAATATGTTTGCTAAAGGTTGACCTACTTGTGTTCTATATTTCTAGATGAATAAATTAAGCTAATTTAAACTTAGTCTTCTCTTCTGTTTCTTCCTTCCTTTTTTGCTTTTCTCAGCCAGCTCGCAAGTCTAATAGATTTCCCTGTGACAAATTTGAGCTCTTATTTTGCTAAAGATAATCCATATTTCCTGTTACTGCTACGCTTGTCTCTTTTGACTGTCAGGTGTAAACCAGAGAGCCATAACTGGACGTGTGAGCAGAAAAAGGGGGCTGAGTGTTAGATAGGCCAGAGGGCAATGAGTCACTTACCTTTCTGAGGCAACTAAATTGCGCAGCAGAAAATCTAAACTTGGTAATTGAACTGTTATGGCTCCTTATTGCATTAGGTTACGCTATCACACCTCCTAATCTATTTAACTGGATTTATATAGATTCTTTGTAAAAGGGCATCTTCTCCTAAAGATCTCCAGCACAGATTGGAGGTCAAGTGGGGATACAGCTAATGGGAATTGCCGACTGGTGTTCAAATACTCCTTTGGGGCTGTCCTAAGTGACATGTCATCTTCTCTGTGGGACAATTAATATGAATATTAATATGTAGAGGAAATAGAGGTTTATTTCACTGTCTCTTGTGCTCTTGTGTCAGTGGTTACAACAGACTGACGCCAGATCTGCTTGTCACTGCTTCTGTAAGCTATAAGCTCAGAAAGGTGCAGAAGGGGAAACCACTAAAGCAGAACAAATTATGCTAACGGTAACTTGTCTTCTATTTCATTATGCAACAGATGTGTTTAACCGTGGCAAAAGAGACTTTGCAACCAACTCCACCTGAGATAATTCCTCTCATTGCTTACAGGAACTTTAGCAGCTACTGTTTCTGTAACTGCTGTGCACCTGTATGGGTCTGTATGATTGTTTTTAAGCAAAATTTGTCATTAGAGGGAGGTCAAACCACTTTCAGTTGTTTTTCCATTTCTTATTTTTAGCTAGAAATGACTAAGAGTTAAAAAAAATTATTAATTATTTCACTGACTTTCTGAATATATGAGCAGGTGTTTGCTTGTTCTGATCACTTTGGAAATAAACAGCGACACCACAATGTCGTTCCAAGCTCCTAGGTTTCCTCAAAGGAAATGCAACATGCATTATCTGCAGATGACTTCTCAAAGGAGGCAGCAGCATGTGCCAAGGTCTTGTAAACTTTGTAATGAAACTAGTTAGACATGTTGGATGTTTCAATAGTAAAGGAAACATCCTTTACTATTGGATAAATAGTAAAGGATATTGTGGATAAATAACCACAATACAATTTTTATGTGGATAAAAATTGGGTCCACAATCCAATATCTATTGGATTGTGGATGTTGGAAACTTGATGGACTCCAAGTTTGTCAAAGAGAAAGCAAATATGGCACCAATGTCACATATACTTAGATTACTAAATTATACTGTGTTCTGCCATTACAAACATGGCAGAACACAGTATAAAGGGAACAGAGTGAGAGGAGAGAAAGAGGGAAGTGCACCTGGCTCTCCTCTGTCTGCTGTTCCAACAGTCGACATGAGTGGTTTATTGTCTGCAAGGAAATGTGCGGCTCTGTGTGTGTGTGTGTGTGTGTGTGTGTGTGTGTGTGTGGGAGAGGTTTGTTTGTCCTCAGGGTAGGGTAGGGTATGACGGTTGAATCGCAAAGAGTAATAAAGACCCAACTGCCATGTGATAACTATCACAACCACAAACTTCAGAGTATTTAAATAACCTGTGTGCCAGACTAACACAAAGAAGCTCATAATTGTAAAGTGGAAGAAAATTATGTTTTCAAATATTTGTACAAAGGGGAAAAAAGTGCATAGAACTTTCCTCTAATCCAGGGGTGTCAAACTTATTTTCGTTTTGGGCCAAATCAAGGTCCTGAATGCACTTAAAGGGCTAGATGTGCCAGGATGTATTGATAAAACTTGTTCACAAACTGTTAAAATATCAATGAATCTTAAAATTTAATGTCGTTTCAGTCACTCCAAGATTTCATGATTCTTTTTGTGATATTTGCAGTAAAAATCAAAGTGTTTATGGTACTAATTTGGAAATATTTGCTATATTTGCGCTTATCCTTGCAACTTTTTATAACTCGCTGTATGGATCATGGACTATAATCTGACATCAATTAAGGCTGAGGCAGCTGTTTAGTACAAACAAGAAAGTTTGACAATTTTTGAGAAAAATCTGCAATAAACTCCCAATTACATAATAATGCAAAAAAAAAGTGTAGGGATTTCTTGATTTTGCATAAATTTCCACGATAATTCTCAATTAAAGTTATGGTGGGCCAAATCTGGCCTACAGGCCTTGTGTGCTCTAATGCACTCAAGTCCAAGCTCTAGTGCTCTAATCTGATGCTGAAAGCTGGATTGGGCATCAGCCATATAGGGTAATGCCCAGTGGGATGATGCATCATTGTGAACTTTATATCATGTCATAATGTTATCTCCTCATCAAAAACACTCCTGGAGTGTGTCTTGATACTTTCATGCATGTTTGAGAAATCCTTTAATCTCCCGTGGCAACCATTCAGCTCATTAAGACTAGCCCGTAGCAATTAGCAAATACCTGGTGGGACTTTGCATCTGCTCAGCTCATTATATAAGATGCTTCTCAATGAAAGACTGGTAAAAAAAAAAAACAACTTGTGATGGGGTTAATAAGGAGCCATGTTGTGATGACTTCATGAAGGGAGAGTTTCAGAAAAAGCAGGAGTTTTTAAAGAGGCAAAGGCCCATTTTCAAAGTCAAATCTCTTTTAAGTCATATTTGATAGATGATGCATTTTTATAACAACTGATGTTAACACAGTTATAATATTGTGCTATAAAATGGCACTAAATGCCTGGAAAATACATAATACTGCCCCTTTAATGATGGCACTTGACAAAATCTATTATCTGTTACTGGTTTCACAATTGGTGACTGTATGATATGTTTATGATGTTTTTATGTTTTCATGATGTAATGCACTTTGAACTTCCTTATTGCTGAAATGTGTTATATAAACAAACTTTTTTGACTGATTGACTTAACCAAAAAAGTATATTACAAATAAATCTTATCAACTGTGATGGTCTATTGGTTGATTTTCTTGAAGCACATTACTGACATACAGTTGCACTGAATGCATTTGGATGCATCATTTTTCAAATTTTGAAAAAAAAAAAAAAAAAAAAGCTGTTTGTCATTGTAACATGACAAGGTTTCCCAAAAAAACTTGCTAAGCCCGGGGGTTGAGGCGCTCGGCAGTCATTGATCCATTTTCTGAGTTAGAAAATGTTTAAAGTTGACAGGAAATTTGAAAATATCAGTTGATAATTATGTGTTATTGGAAGATTGGAAGATTAATATCTGAACACCAACTATAAAGTCTTAAAAAATGCTAACATAAAAAAAACAAACAACTTTAATAAATAAGCAATGCTAAGCCTGGTGGGGGCACAACTAAAGCCTGGTGGCCCACCAGGTTAATGATGCAGGAAACCCTGCATGACACATTCGAACCGAGTAAGAATCCCCCTCACTTAGAATGGTGAAAATGAGAGCAGATAAGTACCAGTTAAATGAGACTCAAGCAATCAGTCTCACGTCTACACATGTTTCTTATCTAATCATCTAGCTTGATAAAAAACCTGAAAACACTGAGTGTCTGAACTCTTAATGGATGAACTATTAGGGGTTTCGGCATTAACAGGGAACAGCCCACAGCAGAAAATGTTTGCTCATGCTTGTCAGCAGCAAGTAATATCCTGTCCCATTAGATTATTGACCCCTATGTAGGTCTGTCTTGTCAAAATCTCCATATGTGGTCAAAAGAATCCTAGGAAGTCTGAATTCTGAACACAGTACTGAAACTCAGCCAACTTGTAACCCTTTAACTCTCACACCAGGAAAATACAATGGAAAAACAGATTGTGAGCGATCAACTGCTTGTTAAAGCGTTTTAATATCAAATAGACAGCATAATCTCCCAGCTGTACTTAGTGAGGTGAATAAAAAAACACCAGTTAATGTTACAAATGCCATGATTCTTGCATCTTGTGGGTTTTGGTTTATGGTTTTTGTTTTGGATTATTTGTGGATCATAGTTTTTGCATTATTAGTTCTTTCTGTTAGGTCTGTTTTCTTTTGATATTTGTTTAAACTGTCACCATTTCAGTTTAGTGAGACAGATAATCTGTGATAATCTAGTTTCTCCCAGTGCTAACTAGAAACAAC